GCCGTGGGAAGTTTCCTGAGGGGGACAGGTTCAGGCGTCTCGGATTGATCAACGGAGTAAAGACGAGAGAGAGAATTGGGTTTGACGTTCTTGGATCCGGGTCTGTAAGAGATAATGAGGTTGAAGCGAGAGAAAAATAGGGACCACCTTGACTGACGAGGATTGGCTTGTTTAGCAGACTGGATGTAAGCTAGGTTCTTATGATCTGTCCAAACAAGAACCGGGTGCTCAGCTCCCTCCAGCCAGTGTTTCCATTCCTCCAATGCCAGCTTGATGGCCAAGAGTTCACGGTCTCCAACGTTGTAGTTTTGCTCTGCGGAGGAAAGTCTACGAGAGAAAAAGGCACACGGGTGAACTCTTTGATCCGTGTCGAGTCTTTGAGATAAGACAGCCCCCACACCAGAGTCGGAAGCGTCTACTTCGAGGATGAATTGCTTTGAAGGATCTGGCTGGATCAGCATAGGAGCTCTGGAAAAGAAAGTCTTAAGTTTATCAAATGCAGCTTGTGCCTCGGGGGTCCATTGGAAGGTTCTTTTGATTGAAGTTAGAGAAGTTAGTGGAAGAGCTGTCTGACTGTAATTCCTGATAAATCTCAGATAAAAGTTGGCGAAACCCAGGAATCTCTGCAGCTGCTTACGGTTTTCAGGAACCGGCCAATCCAAAACTGCCTTTATTTTATCCTCAGAAGGCTTAATCTGCCCGCCCTCGAGCACAAACCCCAAAAAGGTGACTGAAGGCTGATGAAACTCGCATTTTTCGGCTTTGACAAAAAGTTTGTTCTCCAGTAATCTTTGTAACACCAGGCGGACATGTCTTTTATGCTCAGAAAGATTCTTAGAATAAATGAGTATGTCATCAATGTAGACGAACACGAACACATTCAAAAAGTCTCTGAGAACGTCGTTTACCAAGGCTTGAAAACATGCAGGGGCATTAGTTAGACCAAAAGGCATGACCAAATATTCAAACTGGCCCAAGGGAGTCTTAAAGGCTGTTTTCCACTCATCTCCATCTCGAATCCTGAGAAGGTGATAAGCGTTCCTTAAATCAAGCTTGGTGAATACAGTAGCCCCTTGTACAGGTTCAAAAGCTGAAGCGAGTAATGGGAGAGGGTACTTATTTTTAATTGTTATTTGGTTTAGGCCTCTGTAATCGATACAGGGTCTTAGTGAACCATCCTTCTTGCCGACGAAAAAGAACCCCGCACCCAACGGAGAAGAAGATGGGCGAATTATTCCAGCAGCTAAAGACTCATTGATATATTTTTCCATAGTTTCTCATTCAGGTTTGGAGATATTATAAAGTCTGCTGCTGGGTAGAGGTGCTCCAGGTAACAGCTCAATAGCACAGTCATATGGTCTGTGTGGTGGAAGGGACGTAGCACTGACCTTACTGAAGACAGGAGCCAAGTCATGGTACTCGGAAGGAACAGAAGAAAGGTCAGGAGAGTTCATCTCTCCCCCACCTCTAGGATACCTCACAGCGGGAGCTGCCGAACGGAGGCATGTTTCGTGACATAAAGTAGACCAAGATTCAACATGACGATCAGTCCAGTTTATATGGGGGTTATGTCTTTCCAACCATTCGAATCCAAGCACCAGAGGGGAACATGCGGAGGGAAAAACAAAAAATGTTAAGGTTTCTCTGTGATTACCTGAGATTAGCAGCTCGAGAGGTTGCGTTTGATGGGTGACCTGGTGGAGTTTCTTTCCATCAATAGCGGAGACACAAAGAGGCTGGTTTAGAGGTACGGTTTCTATTTGAAGTTGCTGGACAAGATTGGAGTCAATTAAATTCCGTTCACAGCCTGAATCGATGAAAGCAGACAAAGTGAGGTTCTGATCAGAAAAAAATAAAGTGGCAGGGAGCATCAGGCGAGGAGATTTTTTAGAGTTTATATGGCCCGTCAGACTCCTCAGAACCTCTGACGGGCCCCGACTTTTGATTTTGCTGGGCATGAAGCGATGAAGTGACCACTCTCACCACAGTAGATACACAGTTTGCTCAAAAAACGTCTTTGTCTTTCCTCTGGAGTCAGTCTAGTTAGTCCAACCTGCATGGGTTCGGTATCCGTTTCTCCAGTCTGAGAGGCCTGAACAGGCAGAGGGAGAGACTGGGTTTTAGATCTCGGCTTGGAAAAATGTTCTGTGGGAGCAGAAAAAACAGTCACATTATTAGAAGCAGGGGCAGAGGCAAAAGAACCCTGATTCCTAGATTTGGAGCTGTTTCTAGCTCGGATCCAGTTATCCAGCCTAATTGTCAGGCGGATTAATTCTTCAAGTGATGCAGGTTCGTCGAGGGTTGCTAGTTCATCCTTGATGCTTTCGTTCAAAGCCATGAAATAAGCGCCCTTTAAAGCGCTTTGATTCCATCCGGAAGCTGCTGCTTGGACCCGGAAGTCAATGGAGAAATCTGCTACTGAAGAATTTCCCTGTTTTAGGTTCAAAAGAGCACGAGAGTCAATGGTTTGATCAGTTTCCTGGTTAAAAACTTGAGAAAATTCAGAGACAAAATCTGTGTATCGACAACTGAGGCTTTCATCGGAGGCAAACCTTGCCTCAGCCCATTTCAGGGCTCTTCCAGTCAATTGGGACAGAATAAAAGTTATTTTCTTGTGATCAGTGGGAAAACTGCCAGGAGAGTTTTGAAATATTAGGCGACATTGAAACAAAAATCCTTTGCAGTCCGTCATATTACCTGAAAACTTCTCAGGTAGACTTGGACGAAACTCAGGTGATGACGTCACTGCCGGTGACCTCGGAGGCGGTACTGGACCCGGAAATGGTTGCGCTGCCGGCGTGGCATTAGCACTGCTCATGTAGTTAGCATAACTCTGAAGCATTTGGTTCTGCATTTCAATATGGGTGTTTAACTCACGAAGAGCCTGAGCGTGACCATGGATTTGAGCCTCCTGCTCCTCCAATCGACGACGGAGGTGATCTGCTGGGCCTTGTGTTTGGCCGCAGTGTTCTGTCATGATGGGTTACTGAAAAGCCCAATATGCAGAACACCACGGA